GTGGAAACAAGCATCCTTTCCCTAAGCAGCCAGGGGTTCTATTGTCTCTTCTTATATTCTAACCATCCTGTCTGTGCCTCAGCCACACAATGCCACAGCATTTCCCCCATCAACATTAAATTTAGCAAGCAAATGTCTAGTTCTCACAGATTGTAGTATTCATATAAAATTGTCATGAATAATATTGTAGTTTTGTACATTACCCTGTTTCTGTTATAGTTTCTACTTTATGCTACTGGTTCTTCACACTCAGGAAAAGATAAGAGACTCTTAAAATGAACTTCATTGCATGAGTCCTTGATATTAACTAATGCTGTAAAAATTACTGTATTTTAAATTAGCCCCCAGAATATGGTGAGATTTTTTTCTTATCTTGTTATAGTTTTTAAAAGATAAAGAATATTTTAAAAGAAAGAAAGATAGAAAAAGGAAGGACGGAGGAAAAAAGACAAGACAAAAACAAAAAGAAAGAAAGGAGAGGGATATATTAAAGGAGGTACAGTGAGCAACATACTGCTCTGAAGGGTAGTTATGCCTTCCCATCCAAAATGTCTTATGAGCTTAGTGTTCAGATACGGGAGGGAAATGCTTTTTTCTCTGATGCTTTCAGAAGCTGTTCAATTGTTTCCACTTCTTTATAAGCTCCTGGCTTTCAAAAAAGAAAATGTGCACTTGCCCCTAGCCAACCCAATCTAACTTGTCCTGTTTCCAGAGCGAACTTGTGTTGAAGGTGACGATTTCAGTCTAGAGGTCATGCCCATGTGCCGCATCCTACTGTCTGCAGCTTCATGCTATATTACACACAAGGAAATCTGGCCTTTTAGACTCCTTTCCGGACTCCCACCCCCACCCTCTGCCAGCTTCAGCTCCTGACAGCCTTTCTCCTCCCTTCCCCAATTTGTACAAATAATGAGAATGCTTCATAATCTACACTCAAATATTAAATTCACAAGAATCATGATCAACATGGCTGGGGCACTTTTAGAATGAGTCTGGATGCAGACTACCCAGCTGGAGCCATGCTAGCATGCTTCTACAGGAGCGAGACCTGAACCACATTAATCTGCTTAATTTCTTTTGTGAATCCTTCCTTGCTTGGAAACAAGAGGCTTGAGCCTCTGCAAAGACACTCAGAAACTTGCATCCTTTATTGTTTTTAGAAAGAAAAGCTATCTGAAACTCCCAACCAATAAATAGATGAAAGTATAAGTAAATCAAGCAAATCTTTCTTTTCCAAATGAATTGTATTGCCCTTATTGAAAAGAATAGAGGGGTGTGGAAAATGTGGGGTGGGAAACTGGAGTGTGAAACAACTCAACAGGGAATGAAGATGCTTCCCAATGCTTGTATGATCCAGGAACTGAAACTTCTACAGTCTTTCTGGAGAAAGGTAGTGGATTTGCTACAATTACATTTCCTCCACTTAAAAGCCCAGTTCCTATCTAGGGCGACTTTTAGTTGCCCCAGCCCGATAGGTTCGATAGCTTTTGTCATATAATTCAAACCATTAGCTCTAGAGGGGATAGGGGAATCAGACTGAGGACCTGGAGTGAACTTGAAGATCTGGATGAGGAGCACACCAAGATATGTCTTTCTCCAAGATGCCAGAAAGATCAAGTTTAGTAGGGGTGACTTCGAGTTTAAGGCAAATTGCAGTCTATGAAAAATAAGTTACCAGCTCTTTGCAACAGTAGCTTTGCTTGGACTTATTTTTCTCCCATGTCCAGACAGGGTCGTCTATTGAATGAGGCTCTTTTATTTTGCATGGGGCAGGGGATTTGTGACCATGGTCCCCCCTTTTATTCCTCTCTCTATGGAAACCCAGATCATGGGGAGAAATATGCAAGGCTGAATAAAGAGAAGCCACAGAAAGGAGCGCTTGAGAGCGGCATCTGTTACACTTGGGAAGTTAGACTGACAGGAGAGGGCTAAGGAAACCTCTCTAGTAGATTAGTTAGAACAGCAAGAAGATTTCACTACATGTAGATATTTTCTTCAGAAAGCAAAACATGTCGTATACAAGGGAAGACTTTTTACATCTGCTATAGGGAATGATTGCACCTAATGAGATAGATATTATCTATACTCACAAAAACAATTTTTAAATGAGAGGAGGAAGAGGGGAGAGGAGAAAAGATTCAAGAGTTGAAGAGAGGGAAAGGTAGGGAGAAGGAAAGGGAATGGTAAGGATTTCTGCTCCTAATAAAAATCTATTCTGAAATTAAAGGCTAGAAAACAGGGCTATAAAAAGCTTCTTCCTGGGTGTAGATGTATCCTCCTTACTACCCTCCCCCTACCTCCTGACTTGGGACTAATGAGCTGAACTACTTTTGCTTTACTAGCAAAGCCTCGGTTACCAAAGCAAAACAAGTCCAAGACTGAGAGTAATGTGGACTTCAAACATTCTTTCTAGTCAGAACAAGAAAAGGACCTCTTTTTTTTACCAAAAAAGCTTTATCAGAGGATAATTATCTTCACCTCCTTAACAGACAGACTGAGAGAAGCAATACTTTCACCCAAATGCAGCTGCTAGGTGGGGGTGTTGAACATACCAACAACATGGCTATAATCATGATCGGAGTTTTATACATACAGTTTCTTCAACAAATTTCCTCTGACCTTTCAGCTGACCCAACAAATACTAGCAAACATCACCAAGCAGGCAGTCTAATCGAGCACCGAAAACTTCTTTTTGTTTGATTTTAATGAGTTCTTATTTCTTGAGAAGCATAAGTTCAGGCACAAATTGGATTGCATTCTTGTAAAAGATAATGCATACATTCATCAGTGAAAAACAGCCTACCTCATTCCTCCACAGAAAAGAGAAGACATATAGAAACAGACACACAGAGATGGAGAGAAAGAGAGTGCCTGCACACAAGAGTGTAAGAGGGAGGGAGGGAAGGACAGAGGGTGGGAGGGAGGGAGGAATGAAAGGAGGGAGGGAGACAGGGAGAGGCAGAGGGAATGAATTGATTTCTAGGTTAAAAGCAGATAAGCCCTTACAATAGGGCATCAGCAAATGAACCTACAATTTCAATGAAAAAGCAGGGTGAAGCAGGGAGGATGGCTAAAGATCCTCTCTGCCAATAATTACTAAGTGTTTATCTTTAAGAGCAAAAGAAAGATTTCAAACAGATGCCAGGTTTTCTCACCTAACAAATGCGAATTTACATTTACCAATCTCTGCTCCGATTACTTTGTGCTGTCATAAAAATAATCACCAATTTCACAGGAAATAGATACTCCTCAGCTATATAAAGGAATGACAGAATAAGCTCACCTTGCTTTTAATTTTTTTCTCATTTTCTTGCATTTTCTTCAGATCTGTCTTCTTAGAGAAACTAATGCCTTAATGACTTTCTGGTAGCTGCAAGCCTTCTTTTATTTCAGCTAAATATATGAAAATGTATGCAAATTTAAATCAAGCTTAACCTAGGAAGCTCTTGCAATATATTTAATGGAATTTCAAACCAATAAGGGAACTCTGATGCCGTCTTCTGTTAGAGCAAATATAATTACACAGCTAGGTTGCCTCCAAAATTACCGAATGAAAGGTCATTAAAAAAAAAACTTCACATTTGGTATTGGGTGTTGTGTATTTATTGTCTTTTCCGAGCTAGTGTGATTGTAACATCTTTGCATTTCCACCAACTCTGCTTCCAAGCAACACCTTTGCGTGGGGCTGTGGAGCACATGGACTTGCTCTTCTCTAACTTGGAAAAGCCTAGGAGGGTATGTCTTTCCTTTAAACAAAATTTGAAAGCGATCGGGTCCCCCAGGCTGAAAACTAATTCAAGCTTTGTGGCAGCTGGGGAGAAATGGAAAAACTGTGCAAGATGCCTAGCCACCAAGGTCTCTCTCCGGGCTTCTCCCAGTTTTTCTGTTTCTCTCCCTCTTTCCCACTACTCTTTTTTTCCTCTCCCCCTCCCCTCCTCCTGTCTTCTCTCTCCTTGTCTCTCTGATTCTCTAAATTTTGAAAGAACAGTAGAGGAAGCTCATTTCTCAATATTTCTATCACTCTGCTAAGGAAGCAGGGTGTAAACGTTTCAAAGAGTTTTTCCGGGGACAACACTGGGCTTGCTTGGTGTTCTGAATACTTTCCAGTCTGCCTTTTGGGAGAGGGGGACTGGGTTTGCTACATGCATCTCGGGTGAGTACATAAGAGGACTGCCTGCTTCAACAAGCAGCTTCCCTGACATAAGCTGAGACCTCTGATAGGAACTGACAGGGGAGCAAAGATAAAGTCAGATTTCCAATTAACCAGCAAACTTCAAACTGACTGAGTCTTCCAAGGAGCACTTTAAGATTTACATTCGCAAACCCTCAACTCTTCATGCCCTGAATCAAAAAATTAAGAAAAATAAGCAGAAATATATTTCCTAGAGCTTTTTTGTTTCTTGTAAATGAAAAAAATAAAGGGAACAAAATAAATTAGAATAGCTTTTATTGGATCATGAATTTTCATTTTGGGCTCTGATCTAAAACATTGCGTTGCTCAAAGTTTGTAGATGCGTTTTATTTTGCAGTCCCCGCCACACAGGAACCCAAAGAGCTAACTAAAACTGAAATTTTTAATGCAGTAAGATCAAAATGACATTTTAATTTCTTTCTTCCTTCCTTCCTTTTTCGTTCTTTTTTTTTTTTAAATTTCAGTAAGCTAAAGGGAGATCTGAAACCAAAGGTAGCCTCCTCACTTCCACTCTACACAAATATATCCCTTCTCCGTCACAAACACACACTTGGTCCCCAGGAGGGGGGAAAGGGTTAACTAAAAGAACCGCTGCCACTCTGAGCTAGGCAGCCAATGGAGCCTAAAGATTGATTCACTTCCTGCTTGGGTCTCACTGAAACTCCGGAGCTTCGCCAGCCTAATTTGGAAAGCGAGCTCGGCCTCCCGCACCATCATTGGCTGAGTTTATGCCTGGCCAGGCCAAGTCGCACTGCGATTGGCCTTGGCGGGTGCCGGTAACCCGCGCTAGCGGCTTTGGTTCCCCCGCACCATAGATGTCAAAGGCTGAAGCTGCTCCCTTTGCCACATTATAACTAGTAGAGGATCCTCATCGACCATGGCCACAGCTGCCTCGAATCCCTACAGCATTCTCAGTTCCAGCTCCCTTGTCCATGCGGACTCTGCGGGCATGCAGCAGGGAAGTCCTTTCCGCAATCCTCAGAAACTTCTCCAAAGTGACTACTTGCAGGGAGTTCCCAGCAATGGGCATCCCCTCGGGCATCACTGGGTGACCAGTCTGAGCGACGGGGGCCCGTGGTCCTCTACACTGGCCACCAGCCCCCTGGACCAGCCGGACGTGAAGCCGGGACGCGAAGATCTGCAACTGGGAGCAATCATCCATCACCGCTCGCCACATGTAGCCCACCACTCGCCCCATACTAACCATCCGAATGCCTGGGGAGCGAGTCCAGCTCCAAACTCGTCCATCACGTCTAGCGGTCAACCCCTCAACGTGTACTCGCAGCCAGGATTCACGGTGAGCGGTATGCTGGAGCACGGGGGACTCACTCCACCACCAGCTGCTGCCTCCACACAGAGCCTGCATCCAGTGCTCCGGGAGCCTCCAGACCATGGTGAGCTGGGCTCGCACCACTGCCAAGACCACTCGGATGAGGAGACTCCAACCTCTGATGAGTTGGAACAGTTCGCCAAACAATTCAAACAAAGAAGAATCAAGTTGGGTTTCACGCAAGCCGACGTGGGGCTGGCACTGGGCACACTGTATGGCAACGTGTTCTCGCAGACCACCATCTGCAGGTTCGAGGCCTTGCAACTGAGCTTCAAGAATATGTGCAAGCTGAAACCCCTGCTCAATAAGTGGCTGGAGGAGGCCGATTCATCCACGGGAAGCCCTACCAGTATTGACAAGATCGCCGCTCAGGGCCGCAAGCGCAAGAAGCGAACCTCCATCGAGGTGAGTGTCAAGGGCGTACTGGAAACGCATTTCCTCAAGTGTCCCAAGCCTGCAGCGCAGGAGATCTCCTCGCTGGCAGACAGCCTCCAGTTGGAGAAAGAAGTGGTGCGTGTCTGGTTCTGTAATAGAAGACAAAAAGAAAAAAGAATGACTCCGCCTGGGGATCAGCAGCCACACGAGGTTTATTCGCACACGGTGAAAACAGATGCGTCCTGCCACGATCTCTGACTGGAGGAAGCCAGAAGGTGGTCCGCAGCACTGGGAGCAGTGCGGATATCGTTCTCACTCCCTTCCTTCCTTTCATCACTACAGTCTTTATTATTGCTATCTCTCTAGCTTGCTAGCTCTTTCTTTCTTTCCTCCACAGAGGTTTCTAACTTATGTTAAGAAAGGAAACACACACACACACACACACACACACACACACACACACACGCACACACGCACGCATTCAGGATTCTCAACTCTGAAACACAATTGTATTAAGCAGTCCAAGTGGGGACCTCATAGTCCCCGCTGCCAGGGCAATTTTTCTCCAACCTTTTCTGCTGATCAATACATATTGTTTACTCTGAGTAGGATTTGTTTGGTTGCTCCTCGCTAAAAAAGGGCAAGGAGCTGGGTAACAGGGGTGGGGGCGGGAGAGGGTGGGAAGACAGATGTGTGCCTATGAATAACCTTTCAGCGCCTTGGTTATAGCAGCTGTATTTCAGGTGAAATCTGTTTTACAATAGACTAGTTTTGCATTTTTTAAAACTTCTATAGCGTTTCTAAATGTCTGCGGTGTTTTACTACAAGCTGTACACAATATTTGTGAGATAATTTGTATCTAATCGACCACTTCACGTTATTATTGCTATTATTATTATTTCTTCATTCAGCTGATGGGTTTTTAATTGCTTAAAAAGGGAGGGGAGGTTGGAAGGAGGAAAGAGAAAAATGCTCACCTCTTGCACTCCCACACTTTCGAATCTGCATGGAGAGAAGATATGGTGGAGAAAGTTGATGTTTCTATTTTTTTCCCCGGGGACTGAGTGCCTATGTGGGCAGAACAAGCAAACTGAATGGGTTTGCAAAGAAGCCTAAAGTAAGAGAGGCTATTTCGCTGCTTTTTGCCTCCTGTTTTGTGCAACTGTGGAGTCTCTGAAGGCTTCTACAACATAAATCCTGGTGCCCCAGAAGGATTCAGCAGTGGTGCGCAAAGAATGGTGTTTGAGGAACCAGAAGGATTCTGAATTCACCCAGGTCATAAATGTCTGTGCCTGAAGTTTCCCACAGGCTGCCAGTATAGTCAGGTTGACAACCTGCGCTACCCACTTACACTCTCCTAAATGAAAGACTTTGCCTTCACAAATGGTGGCTTTCACCTGAGACCGGGACCCAAAGACGCTGGCAACAGATTGGGCCAGCGCCTCCCAGTTCGCGACTCGCTTTTAGGGTGAGAAACACTCTCAGTAGGGTGGTGAGGGGGTGGGCTAACAGGCACCCTTTGCATAGTGCGGAGCAACAATAAAATGATTAGCGAAAGCCACGGAAATTCTGGTCCAGCCGTGTACCACCTCCTCCCTCTTGTATATACCAAGGTCTGAGTGAGCTCTTGGGGAGCCCATCTCAGCTTCTTTGACAAGCACAGCTGGTGGAAGCCCATGGCGAAGAAGATTGTGCGAGCTAGGGAACGCCTGGGCGGCTGAGTTTATGCTTTTTTTTCCTAAAAAAAATCAAAAATATGTGTGTATGTATTTCTGTGCGTGTGTGCGTGCGCGTGCAAATGTGTGTGTGTAGATAGTTGTGTGTATCATATTATTGTATAAAAAAACTAAAAAAAAAATTCTCGCTAGACTAAGTAGAGATCCCAAAATTAAGCGGTTGCCGTGGCTTTATGGCTAGCTTTCTCTCAAGTCCACAGGTCAGGTTCGCAAGTGCACCTCATCCTCAACAAGCATTCTGTGCTGACCCCGCGAAGCGCCCATGCCCAGCCAGTAACAGCCGGCCTGACCTGAAGGGGATCTCAGCATGCCAGGCTGATCTCAGGATTCAGCCTGCAGGCGCAGCTGCGGCAGACAAAGCTTCAAACTACCTAAGAACCAGAAAACCTTCTGCTCCTTGTAGAAGACACACTAGTATGGGCTGCCAGGCCTCTGGTTGACCACAGTGTCTCCTCTAGCCGCAGGTTGAAGAGCATATATTAATTCAAATCCCGGACCCTTTTGCTAGTTGTTTTTTTCCTTTTTGTTCTTTCTTTTCTTTTCTTCTTCTATTTTTTTCTAAAACCTCTGCATTCTCTTACTTTTAGGTTTTAGTTCTGCGATTTTATTTCCCTAGTTGAATTCATGTTTCACAAATGTTCAAAGGTGGTGAGTTTTTTTAATTTTTTTTTCTTTGCAGTTAAACGCTATGGTTCAAACCTGAGTTAACCCAAATATTTCTGCCGACTTTATAATTGTACAGTTTTGTATATTAAACGTTTTTGAAGTTATTAATTTAAAAAAGATCATTTAGTTTATTCATTTAGTAACTGATGTATAATAAACGCTATTTTCATTAAGAGTTGCTTTTTCAACTATTTTATTCAAATTGCCTATTGCAGTTGCCAACAGTTATTTATTTTCAATAAATTCTGCATTGTGTTTAAATAGAAATGGTTTCAAAGATGAGTTGGGTGTCAAAAAGAAATCAATTCGCTGTAATGTTTGATGTGAGCAGTTTTAGTCAAGGGGTTTATAATGACGCAATATTTTATTGTTGTAAAAGATTTAAAGGTTTAAATAAAACATTTTTCCAAAAAATGTATTTTTCTCCTGGCTTTATTGTGTTGTATGTGAAGTAGAGCATTTAAAGAGGCACATCTCGGGTAAACAAGGCATTTGCTTTGCTTCGGGTTAGAAATCATTAGTTTTTGTTTGGATTCTGGTTTCTATTCCTATGACTTTTGCCCTTTCAGCTCAGAAATATGCTCTCACACACAATACCTGTTTGTACACCCACACTTACGGCTTACATAAAATGTATACCTCAATGGTGGAAAGCCAGGTGGGTAAGACTATTTTATTAGTGTTCTCCCAGAACACAATGTCTTTGCCAACCAGTGTCTTCTAGTTTGTTCCCCCTGACCCCACCCCACCCCACTGCTGCCCCTGAAATTAGACCCAAACCTTCCCGGGACTTCTATGTTTCTTACACATTCTCATCCTTCTTCCTTCTCCCCAGTCGTGACAGTTGCCCTTCTAGTAAGGTACGGGATATAATTTTATGTAGTGATTGTTTTAAGGCACTACCTGGGTCTAAGAAAACTGTTTGCTTGAATCCCTATCTATCTGGCTTGTAAGAGAGAAAAGAAAAGATTATGAGACACTTGGGGGGGATTTTGATTTATTATAGTCATATTTTCATTCCCACATATAATTTTACATGTATTACTGATTTCATAAATCCTTCTATAGAATAAGGGATTGCTACATGTAGTGGTAGCTAATGAATAATTTGCCAAATATGATACAATTCTATTTTAAGGTTTTACACGGACAGGAATTCTTTGTCCAACTTTTCTTTTGGTTGGTGCATTTGAATAAATAAACAAAACACAAATTTCCAGCAATGAAGACACCTTATTCTCATACTTTAAAAGAGAGATATTTTTCTTAAACAAATCATAATTATTGAATCACTTTATTAGGCAATGATTATCACAAATGATGCCTTATTTTTTACAGATTGCCTGATGATTTGCAGCTGTATAGTAAAACATGCAGATGTGACTGTTTTCTATGAAACATGCCACATGCTGTGTGTATATTCACGGATATATCCCCTTTATACATAATGTTGATTGTTTTTTAAAAAATTGTTTTATATATGTTTATGTCTGTGTCTTTTTGTGTGTTTGCCACATGTGTGTGAGCATTCACAGAGTTCAGAAGACAGTCTTCCACTCCCTGGAGTTTAAGGCAGCTGTGAGCCACCTAACATGGATTCAAGGAGACAACCTGGAGTTCTCTAGAAGAGGAGGAAACTCTCTTAAACACTGACTCATCTTTCCAATCCCATAATATTGATTTTATAAAGGTCTATCCATAAGCCCAAAACTTAAAGTAATAAGCCTATTGGTTCTGTTTTTGCTTCATACAAATCATCTATTTCTTATAAAACATCTTATAAAAATGGGTAGATTATAATTTTGCTTTTCTTACTAAAGAACTGCACACAACAACTAACTTTGAGTTTATCCTGAACTCTTAGGTGAACTCATATACAGATATTTTAGGAGGTATTTATGTGAGTATATAAGTATAGTAATCAATACTTTATTAATATATTAATATGCATTATACATATGTATCTATCTCAAACTGTCTTCTTTTATTGCCTTTTGTCCTTCTTAACAATACCATAACCTAGCAGTCTTTTATAATGACCTTATCAATTTCTGTGTAATGAGAATATTATTTTCATTAAAACTCCAGTGTGGTTGGTGCTTTTGTATAGGGCTTTACCTTTCTTAAGTTTGCTTTTCTTTCTACTCCCCACCAATGCCACTGCAGAAATAGCTTTTGTATTGGCTTTTTCAAGCTTTTACAGTTGTAGCCTTCTTTGAGGAAGAACTGATGGATTTAAAATGTAACAGTAACAGTTAATCATGTCTGAGGCTATGAAGGCAAAAACTTTCAACCCCAACTACATGTCAGAATAATAAAACATAGAAAAATTTTTAGGGGAGTAGGATGAAACTACAGGAAGTATGCAGCTGTTACACATGTGTAAATAAATACAAATAAGAAGCTTTAACCTATTTATATATAGGTAGGTTGTCTTTATACTTGTAAATAAGTAGTAAAGAGAAATAAACTACTAAATTTCATGAATTATTTTTCTATCAACAAAATGAAAAATATTATCCAAGGAAATTAGCTTCTTACCTTTAAAAAAGAACCATATTAGGACAATTATGGGGAGTATTTGTCTTTAATAAAAGCAAACACTATTCCCTGAAATTATTTAGCATTCAAAATTTCCCTTGTTTTCTAATCTACCATTGTTGCTTTAATGTTTTGTAGTACTACAAACTGAACATATGTTTTTGTTCTTTAAATATCTTTTATATGAAAGTGAGATGAGACTAAGGAGAACAAGAATGTAGAAAATAGCTGGAGGTTGAAAGTAGTTTGGAAAAGACAAAAGTGTATTTCTCCCACTTCTCAGATCTTTTTAAAGACACATATGGAATCTCCAAGTTGTGGATTATATTCCACAACTTGGTGGTTAAAATCCAAACATGTGAGACTTCAACAACCCAAAAGTCTCTAAAGAAGAAAATCAACACTGTAGAAATCATTGATACCACTCACACTCATGTGTTCTGTAAAATAAGAGTAGAATGGTTTTTATACATGCTCCAGGCAGTATTTTTAATGCAGTAACCCTCCAACTTATGCATTTAAAGATGTTCATTTTCAAAGTATTAACACATGTGAATACACAATATGTTCAAAATCAAGGCTTTTAAAAATGAAATGAAATGAAGGTACCTTTTCAAAAGAGCACTGATGGGAAAAAATATGGATGTATGGTACAATACTTTCAAACTCATATGACCATTTAAAAGAACATAGTCAGAAAAAAAAATAGTTAACTCCTGCCACCACTGAGAATTGGGATAAAATCACCTATAGGAACTAAAAATACGATACTTGTAAAGAACATCCAGAAAATTGATCCCCATGTGTACTGAAATGAACGGACATTCATCCACTATCATTTCTTTCCTTCATATAAGAATAGAATTGATATCCATTCACATATTATATAACTCACTTGAATGCTGTGTTCTATTTACAACACTATTTGTTACCAAGAAAAAATAATGAGATAGTTTCATCCTCTAAAGAAAGAAGTAGAGCCACTTATTTTGAGGTGAACTCAACAGATTTTAATATATATCTATAGATAGATACCCTGAACCATAAACCACATCTCCTACATCCAAATCCTCTTTGAAGATGACAATATTTGATCAGCTCATTAAATATGTATTTTTATCATCTTTCTAGATACTCAAGTTGTGCCCACATTATTTCTGTATAGATAACTGAAATGAAGGGGAAAATACTTCACTTCACAAAACTTTGTTATATCTATATAATAGTTCACAAAATGTTGAAATATATATATATATATGTATATATATATATAATCTTAGTTTCAATGATCCTTACCTCAATCAAGTACACACACACACACATACTGATTTAGCTGTTTGCATTATTAGCAATGAATAGTATATCAGTCATTCCTGGAAGGAAGGAAGGAAGGAAGGAAGGAAGGAAGGAAGGAAGGAAATGGAAACATATTATTTCTCAATTTAATTAGTTGGTTTTCATATATTATAAAACCATTAAATGTGGCTGATTCACATACCTACATAGCCCTTCCCCTTTCTCCCTTTCACACACATAAAAAAGTCATTTTAAATGTAAATTTGTAAGATATATATTAGTATTCTCCCCAAATTATTAAAAGTAAATTTATTGTATATAATTAATTTTTGATAAAAATTTTCTCTCCTATACTGTTTCAATATGAACACAGATAACACTGGACCCCAACAAAGATTTCTTACTGGCATCAAGTTTTTAAAGCTTAGCAATTAGAGGTGCTATAATTAAATGCAATAGTTTAATAGGCTTCAAGTGTTATATAATTATAAACTACATAAAGACTGAGTTTTGGTGGAAATGTTACACAACCATAGTATTTTTCTTAATGTTCTTTCC